GGGGACTTTTTTTCTGGGCTTGGTTAGACACAGGAGAGGACCAGTTGGAGCTGGTGCTGCAGTTACCAAAGCAGCCCCCATGACCAGTGAGTGGATGGATGAAGAACAAGTGAGAACATGAAGCGGCCTTCTGGCTGCCCTGTGCAGGGTGCAGCCGGGTCTGGCTCAGCCCCAGCTTGGAAAGGTGACCGCCATTAGGGGCCTGGTTCCCCCATTTGCTAGACTGTGGGGGTTCAACGACGGCCTATGCCTTAGTTCTAGCCACTGAAAAACACTATTGCTGGGCCCTTGGGAATCTGAAAACAGCCCCATTTCTTGCCTTGATTAACTTACTACTGTTCATAGGAGCAGTTCCAAGTGCCGCTAAAACGAATGATAGTTTGTGATTGTTCCTAAAAGTCCCGACTCCCCAGCAGTGCCCCTGCTTCCCTAGCGACACAATCAGTTATTAGTGGTGATGACAGAAACAGCCCTTGCTCCGTTCCCATTTTCCTAAAGAAAATAGCATTTTGAAAACAAATCTTGATGGTGAGCCAGTGCTGTCCGCATTCAGTGTCCCCTGGGAGGAGGCACAGGGGCGGGGGAGGGGGGGTTAAGACCTAAAGTGCAGAGAAGGAAGGAAACCGTGGAACATCAAGCATGCAGCTAGAAAGTAGGTCCTGCTTCTGAGATGAAGAAAATGTGTGGGTTGGAAGGTGGAAAACATGTGCCTACGTGTGCTCCCTCTTTTTTCTCCAATACTTGGGCTGTTTATTGGGGTCCCTTTCTCTCCAGCCCATTGACTGGAGCAGGGCTTTGCAAAGCCGGTCGCCTAGCAGCGAATGCAGAAGGCCCATTCATATGACAATGGCCGGAGAGGAAAGAAAGAGCGTGGTTTGTTTAAACGGCCTCTGTCTTCAGTCACAGCCTGATGTCCGTCGGCTTTGTGACACCCACAATGGCACTAAAGGACTCATTGTGGCTGAAAACAAATCAAAACAGAAGAAGGGATGCTAAGATAAAAGAGTCATGCAGCAAAATTGCTAAAAAAGTCCAAGTCTTACATCTGAGATTTATGTTACCTCTTGGCTGTGTGGCCTAGTGACCGGTGTTGATAAAAACCCCTAGAGTTTAATAAACAAAAAGATAAATGGGAACTTTATGTACATTTTTAAAGGCACCCACACAGAGGGGTGGGTCTGCCGGGTTGCTGTGGGAGCTGTTTCATAATTACCGTTTTTTGTTTGCACAACATTTGGGGAGCCACGCTCAGCACTTGGTGTGTACTTTCCCGACAAACATACCCAGGCTCTGCCTATGGAGCCCAATAGCGTCCCCCGCCCAGTGGCCCCGACCCCCACCGCGGCCCCGACCAACATCAGATGTTGCAGGAACCCACGCCCAGTTCAGCGGCAACAGGTGGAAGGTTGAATAGCTTCACACGTTTTTTCGGGAGAGGGGGTGGGGAGAGAGAGGAAGAGGGGGGCGGAGGGCGGGCTTTTGGGAGCCGATTTAAGGATTAGATCAGATGTTATTGCTGGTGAAAAATTAAACAGCCCGGTGCTCTGGGAGCGCAGATTAATATATTTAGTGACCGCGCACAAAGGCCGCCCATTGTGGCCGCGTCTGAATGCCTGTGAATGGGACGGAGCATATGCAGCCTGTCGCCGCAGGTGCCCACATCTGTTCTCTCCGGGCAGATGCTCGCAGGAAGGGGGTGGGGAGGCCGGGAAGGACGGCGCTGCCGAAGCCCCGCCTCCCCCAGGCTCCCGGGTCCGGCGGGGACACT